TGGATCCCTCCCTACTCTTATTTATGTACATTGATAAGAATTTCAAGCTCCCTGATTAAGATCTATATATATGGTGGACTGGCAATATAGACTTTTTAACAAGATGAATAATTCTATGGAATTTGTTGGCGGTAAGGTTTTACATTTGTAGCCAAAGAAAAGTTGAAAGCTACAAGGATGGAAACAAGAAAAAATCTAGAAAACAATAGGAGTATTATTACTCTCTAATGAATTTGTGATACTTGTAAATTTTTTCACTCTCTTCTATCCTTAAATGAATTATGATTAATAGTTACTACTAATCTTCTATGCATTGTCTTATGGTATCACATCGACAACACCACTTTAATACCATAATAGACTTTTATTGAAAAATGATCACAAAATTAAAATTTTGACTTAATTATCAATAAGTTTTCATTTACTTTTATGCCCACCTCAAAAAAACATGTATTGCCTTGATCTCTTATAAAATATTCATGATGGGTTAATTTTACACACATTTTAAATCCGAGTAATGTTACATGACAAACTAATTAATTATTCAAATTATTCCCTACAAATTGATTTAGTAATTCTGCATGTTTAATTATTATATAACTCTAATTTGTTTAAATTATCTCTAAGTTAAAATAATTCAGTTATACTAAAATATATTAATTTGTATGTATATAGTATTATTCTTTAAATCTCAAATGATAAATTACTATTTGAGGGATGTTGTATGTACCAACCAAAGGTATAAAGTCCAATATACAGACTGATGTGATGCATAATAAATTAAAGAATAATACTACACACATATCATTCTCTTACTGATTGACTGAAAGTTTAATTTTAATTTTAAATTAGTCAATCATATTTTGTCATATAATATTGTATAAAAATGATGTATGTAAAGTATTACTAGAAATTTGTGAAATATCCTATTTGATGCATGTCAGCACTCAGCAATCAGCATGTGCATGTGGATGGAAAAACTGAAAAAGATAAATTAGGAACGTTTAGTCTAAATAATCTTTTGTTTTTGACCTTTGATATTCTTTCAAGTAAAAATGTTATTTAAAAAGTAAATTATGTTAAGAAATATAGAGTTATTTTGTTTTATTGTTTATTAAGAGTAGAATAGTCTTTTCAGTTTCTTTTGTTTAACCTATATATAATCTCTTTGTATTTAGGTTAAATCATTCTTTTGTATTGAATTGCATTGTGCAGTATCAATGAAACCCTAACCTCCTCTTTTTTTCTTATTTCTTTGGATTATTTAACAAATTAAATCAATAGCTAAGCTATCTACCAAATGTTATTTAAAAAGTAAATTAAATCCACCAACTTCATTCACATAATTCACGCCCATGCATCTTCATTTAGTCTTGGGGGAACGACTTACACATACCCAAGGTTTATCGTAACGACAAGTTGATACCCAAAAGGTTTTGAAATGACAAATAGGTACTTTCCGTCATGTTCTGTTAGTAATTTCTGTTTATTACTGTTTATTAATAGTGAAAAGACTAAAATGCCCTTAAAAGTTTGAATTTTAGTTTTTTATAAATTTAAAAATTTCTAAAAGCCCCCATAAGTTTACAAATTTAACTAAATACCCTAATATATAAAAATTTTGTAAAATAACAAAACACCCCCCACCCGCAAGTGCCAGATTCCGGCCACCAACGCCGGAATCTGGCCGGAAAGTTGCGTTACGACACAGACCCGTCGGATCTGTGTCGTAACGCGTCGATCTGGCCTTTTCCGGCCAGATCCGTGGCTGATCTGGTCGGAAAAGCCAAGATCTACGGCTAGATCTGGCCGTCGACGCCGGAAAACTCCATCTGCGGCGTCGACGGCCATCTGGCTGCTGCTTCGACGGCCAGATCTTGCCTTTTCCGGCCAGATCCTGGCGGATCTGACCGAAAAGGCAAGATCGGCACGTTACGACACAGATCCGATGGATCGGTTTCGTAATGCAATTTTCCGGCCAGATTCCGGCGATGGTGGTCGGAATCTGGCACTAGGGTGTGGGGGTGTTTTTTGTCATTTACAAACTTTTTATATATGGGGTGTTTAATTAAATTAGCAAACCTAGGGGGTTTTTTAGAAATTTTTATTTATAAAAACTAAAATTGAAACTTTGAAGGGCTTTTAGTCTTTTCACTATTATAAAACAAATCACTAACAGATCATGACGAAGGTACCTATTTGTCGTTTCAAAACTTTTTAGGTATCAACTTGTCATTACGGTAACTTTAGGTATGCACAAGTCGTTCGGCCTTTAGTCTTATTAAATCGATCGCCAACGCGGCAATTGTCCCCTCTGAACAAGACCTACCTGCAGCCGAGGCTGAGCTCCATACCAATTTCCACATTATTATAAAATTGGTATAAATCCACTTTTCTTTTTATATTATATTTTATGAATTTAAGAGACAAATGCGCCTATAATACTTCCAATTATGCCTGTGCTATTATAAAGGTGAACTCCGATAAAATGAAACAGCCTGTGAACTTGCCTAATTCATATTTTATTCAATGTTATTGTTAAACCGATTATATATGACATTTGAAATATCCCTATATATAAATCCTAGGAACCCACATCTCATTTCAGCACCATTTCTCATTGCTGGTCGGTTTCATAAACATTTTCATCTTTTTTTTTTTTTTTTTTTTGTTCTTTTTAAAACACAATGTCCGTCAATGTTCCACTTGATATAATGATCAATACTTTCCAAGATTGATCCCACATGTCTTACAGAGCTTGTGCAGAAGAAAAATCTAGGAAAACTTTACGAGTTTGATGGGATTTATGGCATAGCTTCTGCTCTTAAAACAGATATTGATGGAGGAATATGTAGCACCGCAGAAGATATTGCTCGCCGACATGAGGCATTTGGTTCAAACACCTATAAGAGACCGCCATCAAAAAGCTTCTTTCAATTTGTGGTGGAAGCATTCAAAGATCTTACGATATTGATTCTTTTAGGCTGTGCAGTCCTTTCACTTGCTTTTGGCATAAAAGAGCAAGGTCAGAAAGAAGGATGGTATGACGGTGGAAGCATTTTTGTGGCTGTCTTTCTTGTCATCGCTGTTTCAGCTGTAAGTAATTACAGACAAAACCGACAATTCGACAAGCTATCAAAAGTGAGCAACAATATCCAAATTGAAGTCGTTAGAAACGGTCGGCGCCAACAAATTTCAATATTTGATATTGTTGTTGGAGACATTATATGCTTAAAAATCGGAGACCAAGTTCCTGCTGACGGATTGTTCTTGGATGGGCATTCCTTACTGTTAGACGAATCAAGCATGACAGGGAAGAGTGATCATGTTAAGGTAAACAGCAGCCATAATCCATTCTTGTTTTCTGGCACCAAAGTAGCTGACGGGCATGCTCGTATGTTAGCCACATCAGTTGGTATGAGCACACTATGGGGCCCAATGATGAGTCAAATAAGTCGGGACAGCGGTGAACAGACACCTTTGCAAGCAAGGCTCAACAAGTTGACTTCGGCAATAGGCAAAGTTGGATTGACAGTTGCTTTCATGGTTCTTTTAGTCTTGATGGTTCGCTACTTCACAGGAAATACAACAGACGAGAAGAATTTATTGGAAGTAAAACAAAGGTTGACAACACTGTGAATGCTGTTGTGGGGATTGTAGCTACTGCAGTTACAATCGTCGTAGTTGCAATCCCAGAAGGTCTTCCATTAGCTGTTACACTTACTCTTGCGTATTCGATGAAGAGAATGATGGCTGATCAAGCCATGGTTAGAAAGCTCTCTGCCTGTGAAACAATGGGCTCTGCAAACGTCATCTGTACTGATAAAACAGGGACTCTCACTCTTAACCAGATGAAGGTGACAAAGTTTTGGCTTGGCCAGGAACTAATCAAAGAGGGTTCTGCTTCTCCAATTTCTCCCTGGGTTGTTGAATTGATTCAACAAGGAGTTGCTCAGAATACAACTGGTACTGTTTACAAGGCTACTTCAGGATCTGATTTTGAAATCTCAGGTAGTCCCACTGAAAAAGCAATTCTTTCTTGGGCTACCCAAGATCTCAACATGGAGATGGAGAAAATCAAACAGAGCTGTACTATTCTCCAAGTTGAGGCCTTCAATTCGAAAAAGAAAAGGAGTGGCGTTATGATGAGGAAGAAAATAGACAACACAATCAACGTGCATTGGAAAGGAGCAGCTGAGATGATTCTAGCCAAGTGTTCGAGTTACTATGATGCCTCTGGAAACCTGAAGAATCTGGATAATGGTGCAAAGGAAATATTTGAGCACATTATTGAAGGCATGGCAGCCAGCAGCCTTCGATGCATTGCTTTTGCGCATAAACACGTTTCCGAAGAAGAGCAAGAAGATGCATATGATGCGAAAAAGTTAAATGAAGACATATTGAGCCTAATAGGACTGGCGGGTATTAAGGACCCATGTCGTCCAGGGGTAAAGAAAGTTGTGGAAGCCTGCCAACATGCTGGTGTCAACATCAAGATGATTACTGGTGACAATGTTTTCACTGCAAAAGCCATAGCCACTGAATGTGGAATACTTACGCCAAATGGACTAGTTGTGGAAGGAGAAGAGTTCAGAAACTACACACAGGAGCAGAGATTGGAGAAAGTTGACAAAATATGTGTGATGGCAAGATCCTCTCCTTCTGATAAACTGCTCATGGTGCAGTGCTTGAAACAGAAAGGTCACGTGGTTGCAGTCACTTGGGATGGCACAGATGATGCACCGGCTCGAAGGAAGCAGATGTTGGACTATCTATGGGGATTCAAAGGACTGAAGTAGCCAAGGAGAGTTCAGATATTGTCATCATGGATGATAATTTTTGTTCTGTAGCCACGATTTTTAGAAGGGGAAGATGTGTGCATACCAATATCAAGAAATTCTTTACCCCTGGACGACATGGGTCCTTAATACCCATATTTTTCCTTGATCTTCAACATATTTTTCCTTTGCCAAGTCTTTACCCCTGAACGACATGGGTCCTTAAGAGTGAGAGTCCCTGTTTTATCAGTACAGATGACGTTTGCAGAGCCAATTGTTTCACAGGCAGAGAGCTTTCTCACCATAGCTTGATCAGCCATCATTCTCTTCATCGAATACGCAAGAGTAAGTGTAACAGCTAATGGAAGACCTTCTGGGATAGCAACTACGACGATTGTAACTGCAGTAGCTACAATCCCCACAACAGCATTCACAGTGTTGTCAACCTTTGTTTTACTTCCAATAAATTCTTGGTTTCCATTCTCGTCTGTTGTATTTCCTGTGAAGTAGCGAACCATCAAGACTAAAAGAACCATGAAAGCAACTATCAATCCAACTTTGCCTATTGCCGAAGTCAACTTGTTGAGCCTTGCTTGCAAAGGTGTCTGTTCACCGCTGTCCCGACTTATTTGACTCATCATTGGGCCCCATAGTGTGCTCATACCAACTGATGTGGCTAACATACGAGCATACCCGTCAGCTACTTTGGTGCCAGAAAACAAGAATGGATTACGGCTGCTGTTTACCTCAACATGATCACTCTCCCCTGTCATGCTTGATTCGTCTAACAGTAAGGAATGCCCATCCAAGAACAATCCGTCAGCAGGAACTTGGTCTCCGATTTTTAAGCATTTAATGTCTCCAACAACAATATCAAATATTGAAATTTGTTGGCGCCGACCGTTTCTAACGACTTCAATTCGGATATTGTTGCTCACTTTTGATAGCTTGTCGAATTGTCGGTTTAGTCTGTAATTACTTACAGCTGAAACAGCGATGACAAGAAAGACAGCCACAAAAATGCTTCCACCGTCATGCCAACCTTCTTTTGGACCATGCTCTTTTATGCCAAAAGCAAGTGAAAGGACTGCACAACCTAAAAGAATCAATATCGTAAGATCTTTGAATGCTTCCACCACAAATTGAAAGAAGCTTTTTGATGGTGGTCTCTTGTAGGTGTTTGAACCAAATGCCTCATGTGGGAGAGCAATATCTTCTGCGGTGCTACATATTCCTCCATCAATGTCTGTTATAAGATCAGAAGCTTTGCCATAAATCCCATCAAACTCGTAAAGTTTTTCTAGATTTTTCTTCTGCACAAGCTCTGTAAGGCATGTGGGATCAATCTTGAACTAGTATTGATCATTATTATCAGGTGGAACATTGACAACAGTAAAAGACAGGGAGCAGGAAACTTTATTACTGGTAAATTTTATTATGATTTTATTTTTAAAAATCTTTCTCAATGAGAACAAATAAATCATTACTCTCATCTACAATTCTAGTTCAACGAATTAATAAAGTCTTGTGGTATGTATTGTATTTTACCGTTATTTCTATTTTTTTTTTTAATTCATTAAATTTTCTTACTAATAAATCTAAAATTGCCTTTAGCAATTATCTAGAGTGTAATTGTTGTATATGTCTATACTAATAGGAGTTAACAACTTTTTCCCGCCTAAACAATGAGTTAATGACACTTTCTTACCCAAAAACTTTTAAAATACCATTTTATTACCCAAATTTATATTCAGATGATGAACAGAGAGCAAACCGGTCTAGGCTATTAGGGCTTTTGAAGAGGGGAGACTGATGACTCTTTTGATCGTGAAATGTTGGATTTTGGTGGTAGAGATTGACCGAAATTTGATTTGGAAGGGACAATTGTGTAAACCTTAATTGCTCGATTGCCAACGATTGACGGGGTCAGTGGAAATAAGGTTTCATGGGTTTTGGTGAGTGATGATAGGAGAAGAGAATACTGGTGGTGTGGAGTTATAACAATGCTAGAATCATAAATGAAATATAAATTTAGGTAATATAATGTTATTTTAAAAATTTATGGATGAAAAAAATATCATTAAATCGTTATTTGGGTGTGAAAAAGTTGTTTATTGTATTAATAATTGTAGATTTCGTATTCTTCTTCACCATGGGCCAAGCTTTTTTTGGTCCACAACTTTGTTCACTCTTTTAATGCAGGCTAAATTTAACTTTTGTCCAATTTGCTCCAATTGCTCTCTATAGCTCTATAGCCTGTATTCAAAGGGTAAGGATCGGGAGCTCTATTTCTTTTACATAAGTTTTGATATAATTTTTTAGCCATTAGATTAAAATATTTAAATGATTGAAATTATATTTTAATTATAATATTTTAAAAATGCATTAATTATACAAGTTGTATTGAATCTTAACCACCCAAAATCATTTAATCCAATGGTTCATAAATTATATAAAAAAAAGTTGTGCTTCACTTTTGGGCTTAATTTATCTCTTTACAACGTAGGGTTGTTCAAGTCTTTATAAACTATATTATGAATAATTTATTTATTAATTATATCCAAATAGGATTATGGTTTACCTTTATCTCACCCTTATCTTTGAATCAAAGAAAACTCAGTTCAAATGATATTTGAAGACATTTGCAGTGTCTGTCCAAGGACACTATAGCTGTAGTTACCCCAATGTACTCATTTAGTAACCAATAGAGTAAAACATTAGTCCATGCATATAAGCTTCATTAGTTAAAAGGCAATTCAATTATATCTTTCTTCAAATTTTTTTTTTGGTTTAGTTCACAACACTAACAACAAGGTCTATATGCACCTTAAATATATTCACACCCACTCTTATATTATTATATTTTTTCATAACTATTTGTATGGGCCAAAATTTGTATTAGGCCTTGTCAGACCCAATAACAAAGGGACCATTTCAGTATCTAGCATACGACCCAATGTCATAACCCAACTTCAATTAGGTCCACATCAAAATACATCCTATGGAAGGACCATTCAATGGGATGACCCATTATGTAAGAAGGATTGCTTTATGGGCCGGCCCATTCTACGAACCAGTCCACACCATAAGTCAACTCTCTTCACGAGCTAGGTTATTCTACAAGTTGGATCATTCTACAATTAAGGCCACCCTACAAATTGGGCCAACTTACATTTTGGGCCGTTCCACGAGTTGGGCCACTCTATGGGCTTGGTTATCATAGACTCCAGCCTATCAGTCTACACTCATCTCACAATATGATTCCAAGTCCCATACGAATCCTAATTCATCCAAGACTCTTAGCTCACTATATAAACAAATGTCTGCTCTTTCATTATTCGTTCAATGACAAGCCCTCCCTCTAGCTTACTAAGTTCTTGCTCCCAAGAACCATCAATCTTTCCTTAAGAACAATAAGTCATACGGTGCCATATTTGGAAATTATGTCTTTCCGTGAAAAATGAACTTGAATATAGAGGAATAACAATATGCACCCAAAATTTGGGGGAAAACATGCTCTACTCAACACGGCAAAGTTTTCTTAGTGTTATGGAGATCAATAACACTATACTTACAAAGAAATCTTACCAAGATTTCCATACAAAGTGAGGTGACAAAAAATAAATGGAAGAGTGAAACAAAAAGTCAAACTCATTAAATTCACTCTTTTATTCATTTTTTGCCACATCAATTTGTATAAACATCTTTGTAAAATGTCTTTGTAAGTGTAGTATCACTATATGGAGATTCTCCTTTTTTGACTTAGCTCCTTCCCTTCCCATATCTGAAAGTCTGGCTCTACATTTATTTTACTAAAAGTATAGGCTTGGAATTCAAAAAACTGAAGATGTGTACACCCCAAGGAGATATATATATATATACATTTTTTTTTTTTTTTACGAAAAGTATAGGCTTGGAATTCAAAAAACTGAAGATTTGTACAACCCAAGGATATATATACAGTAAAACCTATCTATAATGATACTCTATATAGGAATATACTTTATATAGTCATAAAAAATTATATTCCCAATTTGAGATAGTTATAAATAAGAATAAACTCTACATTGTAATAAGTTATAATTTTTTTAATTCTCGTCTTAAGGAAAGTTGTGTCCATATAGTAATAATTATTTGTATGTTGCAAAAAAAAAAAATATGTTATATTACATTAAAGGTTTATGATGAAATAAAATATTTATCTAAAGTTGTTTGGGACAATGATTTATGCTTTAGAGTTATTATCAAATCTTCTAACTTGCGGGTATATAATAACTCGCTAGCATGAACACCTTCTTGTTGAAGCCAAAATATTTCTAGCTTCTCAAGCATCTTTAGAGCTTCATGGCACAAAATTTTTGCATTTCCGTACTATCATCCTCAGGATTGTTTTCTTTCTCTTATTGTCTAATTGCATAAATGATTTCTTCTTTAGTTAAAGCATATATGACTTGTTGCTCATTTGAATGATCGAGGAAGACATTAATATCTATTTGATTAATATAGTGAAGTTGTCGAATCTGATCACTCAATCTTGCAATGACTCTTCTATTCTTCTCAGCCACTTCATTTGTAACTTGCAATTCATCAACATCGGGAGTCCTAATTTTGCAATGCTTAAAATAATTGATAATTGTCTGTGGCTTCACATCAATTGACCATGCAACAACTGCATTTACAATTCCATCAAGGATACTTATCTTTTCTGGTTCTAATACATGATCTTCTATCTGTTTCAAAAGTAAACGATTAAAGCGCTACTGATAATAACCTTTGAAATTTCTAATAAAGCCTGCATCACATGGCTGGATTTTGGAAGTGCTAGCTGGTGGTAGGAACAGAACATTTGTGTGATGAAGTGGGGGGAGATTAATTCTCTTTTTTCCCATGTGCAGTACAATTATCCAATATAAGCAAGACATTTCTATCCAAACGGCTATCAAACCACTTAAGACATTTCATAAAAAACAAAGATATCATCCATACATTTGAATTCGCTCGATACTTGCAATTGAGATTATCACGGTTAACATTATTAAAGCATCTTGGATTAAGAAACTTACCGATGACCCAAAGCGGAAGTTTGTCAGAGCCATCTCCATTGCAACAAATAACAGTTGTTATCCTCTCTTTGTTTTGCTTTCGGCTCTCTAACTGCTTTGTTGCAAGAGAGTTATCAGCTTGCATTCAATAAAATAAGCCCGTTTCATCCATATTATAAATGTCCTTCCAAGCCCATCTGTCTAATTCCTCTCTTATTGATGGCAAACTAGCTTCAATTTTCTCTATATTAACTGAACCACTTTCCCCAAAATGAAGAAAGGAATGAATTGCATGTTGTTACTTGAACTTTTCTAACCATCCATTTGAAAATTCAAACGAGGTAGCTTCGGGATAGAGTTTCCTTAGAAAAATATTTCCCTTCTCTTTTAAGAATTCACCATTCATATTTACATGCTCTTGATGACATACAAACCATTCATAGAGGGCAGACTCCATTGCTAGGTACTTTACCATCGTTGAACGTTTTGTGTTTGGGTTCAACAATCCTTCTTCTTGAAGGAGGTCAACTAATCGTTTGAGTGTCTTATATATTGCTGCTTGTGATACCTTAAGACCATGAGTATCTTCTAACCACTTCACAAGATCTTTCCGCTTCCAACGAGGGTTTGATTATTTCATTTTGCACAACTCAACACGAATACTTTTTGTCAATTGAGTTCGTGTATTAACTTTGGGTGACATGATTGATTTGCTAGAGGAAGAAGAAATGTATCACTTGAATTGGTGGAAGATTTTATTGAAAACTTGATTGAATAAGTTGAAACATAACAACCCTATTTATAGCAGGCTAATCATAATTCTACTAGGATAAGTAAATAAGAAAAACTAAAACAACTACTAAAACAATGAATTGAAATCCTACTAATACTAAAACATGAATTGGAATCCTAGTACTACCAAAACATGAATTTTAAAATAGGAAATCAAGTAATATTAAAAGTAAATAAGAAATCCTAATACTACCAAAACATAAATTATAAAATATGAAACAAGTAATATTAAAAGTAAATAAAAAATCCTAATACTACTAAAACAATTAATTGAAGTCCTAATACGTATTACTAAAATATGAATTATAAAATAAGAAATCAAAATAGTTTTTTTGTAACTACACCTCTATTAAGTTATAACCTCTTTATAATAATAAATTAGTTTGATCTCAATATTATAACTATAAAAAGGTTTTACTGTATATCCATATTTAATCCGGAACAATTGATCCAACTATCATTTTCCTAAATATTATTCGTTTTAACTCCTCACAATTTCAAATTTAAACTCTACTTGAAAACCACACTTTTATCCTTTCAGTTTGCTGCGCACTCCACTCGCGCAAACCGTCAAATAACAACAAATCCAACGTATCACATCCACGATCTCCGTGAAACCCAATCCAACGCTCCCAATTCAATCAGGAATCCTTGAACCCACAATCCGCGTGACTTTCTTTCCGCCAATCAAAATCAGTATTCCTCTTTATAAGTACCCCTAAAATCCATTTCCCTCCACTAACAATTTCAGAACAATTGATAAAAAAAAAAACCCTATTCTCAGTTTGTTTGAAATTGCAATGGCTCCCGTCACAGCGAAGACGTCGAAGGAAGGAACTGCAAAAGCAAAGAAAGCGGCATCAGCTCCGAAGAAACCCAGGGCTCACCCTCCTTACTATGAGGTAATCTTCGTTTGATTGATTTGTTTGTACGCCCTTAGATCTGTTTTTGACGTGTGTGATTTGAAATGCGTAGATGATCAACGAGGCGATAACTGCGTTGAAGGAGAGAACCGGTTCGAGCCAGATCGCGATTGCGAAGTTTATTGAAGAGAAACAGAAGGCTAATCTTCCTAACAATTTTAAGAAACTGTTGCTGGTTCAATTGAAGAAGCTCGTTGCCAACGGCAAACTAGTCAAAGTCAAGAACTCCTTCAAGCTACCGCCTAAAACTTCCTCTACCAACGCCGCCACCTCAGTAGCCAAGAAGCCGACAACAGCCTCGACCAAATCCACTACCGTGGCGAAGAAGCCGAAAACTGCCTCGACCAAAGCCGCCTCTAAGAAGGCAACTTCTTCCTCCGCCAAGCCCGTTGCCAAACAGTCGAAATCTGCCTCCACAAAACCTGCCGCAAAGAAGTTGAAGCCCAAGACTAAAGAAGTGGCGGTTAAGTCGCCGGGGAAGAAGGTGGCGGTTGCGGCTAAGGCGAAGAAGCCAAAGAGCATAAAGTCGCCAGTTAAGAAGGTTGCGGCCAAGAAAGGGAAGAAATGAGCGGTTTGTCTGTATTGGTAGATTTGTAAATTTGTTGACGATTCAGCGTTTGTCTAGGCATTAATGTATAGCTTCGGCTTGGTTTTAAACTCTTTGTTTGACAGGAATGCTAATGTAGTTGAGTCGAATTTCTCATAATTTGAATATTGTGTTTGAAATTGAAGATCTACAATACAATTAAAAAAAAGGGGTTTTAATCAGTCTGAAATTCTGAATCATGGAAAATCAAAATTCCCAAGAAAGTGAAACAAACTTTAACATTTTTCCATTTTTTGGATGGAATTTCTTAACTCCAGTTGAATGCTGGCTCTTGAAGGGAACAAAACGATGTCTTTCCATACAGAGCCGGGTTTAAATATCGGGTTCGGATCTCCATAAAGTTCGTATACGGATTCTGCTTTGTCATTCAAGGTGCTCACTGTTGTCAAAGACTTGATATCATCAGGATCAACGAGAAGCTTTGAATCTCCATCTTTCCAAGCTATGAGCTGCATTGCATTTAATATGTTAATGAAATGATTTCATTTGGAACTAAATTGGATGAAATGGTTTTGTTTTGTATGTGAATTTACCCTTGGTGGCCCGCCTACAGCATTGGTGCAGTAAAGCCTGGCGTTGTCAACAAATTCGACATATCTTGGAAATGCACTTGCAAATCTCTTGTGAGATTTCAATTGTGAATTCACCCTCACTGCTCTTTTCACCATTATCGCTCTCCTAAACACAGTTAATAAAATTTTGCATTTGAGTTTATGCTCCAAAATATGCAGATTTTTTTTTTATGAGAACAGGGAATTGAAGATGTAGATTCATACCTGATGCCTCTAACAACAGCTAGATAAGCATCACAAACAACTCCAGCCAACTCTATTCTGTATGGTTTCCTGGAAGCAACACAATTTTTCTGGACTTCATCTTCTTCAACTTGTTCCCAGTAATTTTCAGTAATGCTACCATCCTCATTTACTTTGTATCCGACACCCATTCGATATTTATGCTTATGAACATTCCTTGCCATGGCGATTGTCTGCTCAACAAATGGCTCCCATGAGAGGGTACCATCCATAATCACATCTCTCCCTTCATTCAGTGCCGTGACTAGAAGTGAAGATGCTGCATCCGTGGAAGATTGGTGGACCTGAATCAACCCCAATGTATTAGATTAAGGATATGAATGTTAAGACATTACATTCTAAAGTGTGTGTACAGTACCAGTTCAGCAGTTTGAAGCATATCAGCATGATGGCCCATAGAGCTAAGGGCTTTGTAAATAACATCCGTCTCTTTGAATGCATCTGCCTCTACTACCACTGCATTTGTTGCCGCTACTGACCAGAATGGCCTGTCACATTCCAATGCAAATAGTATCCATTAGTCACTCACTCTGTATCTGAATGTATATTCATCGCGTTGGGCCGGCTCAAAATCCAAAAGTAAGCTGGGCGGGCCTATTGTATAAGGATGACATTAAATGCCAAAAAAAGTGATTTGATCTTGATACATGTTTCACGTCTCTTCTGACAGAGCTAGTACTACTACTGACTACTGAAATTATATGATACGACAAAGAAATATAGAGTGGAAAAGGAGAAGTTACTCTTTCATAATATCTTTGAGGACAGTGCTCTTGCCAGCTCCCATGCCACCACCCATGAGTAGCAGCACCGGACTTCTCTCACTGAAGGCAACCGGAGCCATAACGTCCGTGCAATTGGATTCGCCGCCGCCTCGAATGGCCTTAATCTCTCGTACTAAAGTAGAGAAAACCCTTGTCAGCTTCAAATCTTTAGTCACCTTCTCAAATCTCTGTTTCCTATCACATCAAATTAAGCATCCATCTTAATAAATTAAATAAATAATAATATGGATAAAGTAGAGGGTATTTTAATGGTAATAATTCATATGCGATGTCAGTCTCCACCCACTACAGAAAATAATATTTAAAAATGGATAAGAACGATAAAATGTTGAGTTAATTATTGACACGTTTTATATCATATACTTATTTAGTTAGGTAAAATATGCATGATTCATATGCATTTAAACTTTTTAATTAATTGAAGGCAAAAAATGACCTTAATTCAACTATTAAGGAGGGCGTTGTGAATTGGAGTGCAGCCAGGATGTTAATAGCGTCAAAAGATTTAAATAATAAACATAAAAAATTATCAATTTTACAATAAAAAATAATAAACATAAAAAAATATAATTTTAAAATTATGCATATTAAATTATCAAATTTATAATTTCCATTGATGATTTTTCATATTTTAAAAATATTGTATAATTACTTGATTTGATAATATCATCAAATATCTCTACCTCAATTTCAAATCCATTTATTAAACTCAACGAAAACTTAACGTTTTACCCAAAATTAACTAAACCTAACTCATTCAACATACAATTATGTCAATTATATACATAAAATGATAAAAATAACCTAAGACAACTTAACTTATAATCTTTCATCAATTAAGAAATATAGAAGAATAAATTTTTAAGCAAAGTAACAAAAAATGAGAATTATCTTATTTTAGAATATTCCAAAACCCATCGTTTCGACCACATAAGAGGCTTCACATTTACCACCGTAGGTCGAATCGGAATTATAGAATCCTATCCCGGGCCATGAACCTCAGTATTTGCACTGGAGTTCATACGTATAGGATTAACAGAATTTATCAACCGATAAATTAGCCTATACTGAATTGCTATTCCTTCACTAGAAGCCTATACTGGACATCTCCTATTTTACCGGCTTAGTAAAATAGTTA